AACAATAATAGATACATTAGCAATAATAACGATAATAATAATAATAATAATAATAATTACAATAATAATAACAACAGCAAAAATACTAACAGCAGTAAGCATTCGTTATTACCATTGCTCAACAGAGCACACCATCTTCAGTGCAAAACGAAAAGATACAATAGAAATAGCAATCAAATCACTTTACAAAACACTCGGCTGTGCCATCTGTTGTTCGGTAACACTCAAAAATTTATTCACGAATAATAACCCGAGAATATGAGGAAAACATCACTGCAATGGTATAATAATAATCGTAGAAGATACTGAGCGAAAGGTGTTAGATTTAAGAGACATGAATAGAGAAGTATACTTTAAAATTCAATTAAAAGACAAGAACAACTCAAGTAACGGCAGTCGTGGTGTTTTATGTTGATTTGCACAATTATTACGGTTTTCCAATCGCTAACTCTCTTAAGTCTAAAAAATCTGATCGATACTTCCCTCGGAAACGTCACTCTAAACGCTGTCAGAAAGTCATGCGCATGCACATTGACATTGTTGTTGTTGTTCCGGTGTAAACGCGTCGAATGTAGGTAAAATTCCCAATAGAATAATAAGACACTGCAGTTGTCACAATTAATTAACACTCAAACCTGATTATTTGAATCGTTGCAAATTCACAACAAACAAATTCAATATAAATAGCAACAAAATCATTTTCCGAAACACTCGCCGTTGTATTTCAACAAAAAACTTTACGAACAAAATAACACAACTATCGAAATTTCGCATTCATTCAAATGAAACGAATCAATTCAGAACATCGAATCCAATAACACTTTTAAAAAATTGCTGATTGTGAGCAATATATAATAGTCAATGAATTCTTTCACATTTCTTCATCACATTACAATAATTTCATTAGCACTCGAACTCCAATTTTTGTTTCTCGAAAGTCACAAATAAATATCCAAACGATAAATTTACAATGGCAACAAATACGATAGCAGTATCGTTCACAGTTACACGGCACATAAAGAATAACAACCACAAAATAATAATAACACTTAAAGAATAACAACACATAAGGTAGGATATAGATGAATAAATAATGCGAATGAATAAAAGAAAAATTTCAGCAATAATCAACAAAGTGGTTTATGAAACAGAGGTGAGTTATGAGCGAACGATAAAGGACAATTCGGAGTTGAAGAATTTAAAAGAGCCGGTGGTGGATAAGATATGTGAGAAATGCGGACATGACCAGATGAGTTATACTTGTCGTCAGACGCGATCAGCTGACGAGGGGCAGACCGTGTTCTATACGTGTCTTAAATGTAAGCATTGTCTGGTGGAGAATGCTTGATGTGGTGCATTATCATTTTGTTGTTATCATTGTGATGCATTATTCATTCGTTAACCTGTGCAGTCATACTCGAACTTACATATCGCATTTTGGCTCAATTAAGGTTGAGTTCTTCTGAATTGGACTACTTCTTTTTGGGTTGGACTCGGCAGATCTCTTGTGAATAAAACTGAACAATTGTGACGGCAAGAAATCTAAAATATCACTTCTTGAGCAAATTGAATTACTTTTTGAAACAACTGGGCAATGAGCAGTTCTTCAGCACTAGATGATTGTCATCAATAATTTGAACACGGCTTTCACCACAAGGATGATGTCTTAATGATGTTTGAACTCAAATGCCACACATTCTTGGTTAATTGCAATTCGATTTCTCCTTCACGAACGTTCTAACCGTGGAAGGATGTTGACGGATCAAGTCTACTTTCTGGTTAGAGAGCAATTGTAGAACTCATTCACTTCAGGTTCGTGTAAGTTGGAGTATGACTTTAATATACAGTCAAAATATGTACATTAATTGATAATATTATATATTTTACTACTGCAAAATCTCCAAAGAAATGTTTTTAAACCCATTTTTCTTTCGTTTGTGATCACAGAAATTGCACTTATTAACTACAACGTTGGAATAAATCAATTCGGTGCTAACAAATTTGATTTTTAACAGTTTAATAACGGATATTAATCGTAAGCTATAGAATACTCCTGATCGTTATTAAGTAATTTCAGTGACAAAGGCCAATAAATCAGTCATTTTTAACCGTAACAAATTGATAAGTAGGATATGATTTCCTTACCCTATTCGTCGAACAACACTTGAATAACTTGAAACAAGCGGCTAATAGCACGATGAATGCCACACAAATATACAAACAAATCACATTGATTTCATTCGGTAATAAGCATTTGTTGACGTTCAATTGATGAGGTGTTATACTGAGCAGTAGCAGTGCTGGCTGATGTGTGTTACGCCACGAGAATGACGGAATGGTCCATTCCCATATTGAATATGGTGATGGCCACCTGGAACAGCATTCCGCATTTCAATTCATTTATCCACTCACATCAATATTTAACTACTTAAGGTCATTTAAGCAATACGGATAGGTTACGCTTAAGTCTAATACAAAGTGTGATTTCAAGATCACGTTCAGTGTAAGTAAACATTAGCCTTGATTCATCGCTCATAGTTATTACTCAAAACACTTGTAAGATGATGAACTAAAATGAATCCAACACTAATGTCACAATGAAAACATATCTGCGATTACATTCAAATGCCAGCTTGAGTTTAAGTTTGCGACTCAAACGATCCTCACGTTGTATCTCTCATTTAAACGCAACACTTGGTCATTGATTACTAATCTTAAATAATTTAAATATTGCAAAGTTAACTATGAAAACTTCAAACAAATAGTATAATTCCAGAGCAAAACCTACCATGTTTTACACCCATAATGTGTATGACCCGCAAAAACAGCTCTTGGCTTCAGTGTTTTCAGTAATAATTCAGTTGATTCCGCTGATAAACAATCCCACTTCTCACGGAAATCCTTCGACTTCAATGGCTCTGGGGCTGCATCTTCCTCATCTGCACAGTGATGATCACTTTCTCTTAAAATTGTTCTATTCATTCCTATTGTTCCATTGTAAATTTATTTTATGTTGGTTGAATTCATTTCAAAATTTTAGATATGCTTTGAAAACGTTATCGTTTTCATGGCGCTTCACGTATAAAAACTCAAACTCAGAATTCTTGACAACAACTCCAACTGAGAACATTTCATCAACATTCCTCCTGAATGAACCATACAAAACCTTCGTACAGAAGGTTTTGTAAACTTCTTCCATTTCACTTTTATTTCTCACCATCCGCCCATCTTGGATCCGTAATGCTGCGATCTCTGGTTTACATAGAATCATTCTCCGTCTGCATTTCTTCAAACTTTTTCTTCCTTCTGCAGCTTCTTTTAATTCATCCATTTGATATTTTAAGAAATACTCTTTCAA